TTATATATATATATATACTACATATACTATATAAATATACTGTATTTTATATGTATATATATATATACTATAACTATTGTATATACTTTATGTACTATATATAGTATACATACTATATATACTACATATGCTATGTATACTACATACATATATATATACACACACCATATTTACTTTATATACTGACATACTACCGTCCTTCCTTTCTTCCTTCTTTCTTTCCTTCCTTGCTTCCTTCCTTCCTTTCCTCCCTCCTTCCTTTGTTTCTTTCCGTTCTTCCTTCGATCCTTCTTCCTTGCTTCCTTGCCTTCCTTGCTTGTCTCCTTGCTTTCTTCCTTCCTTACTTCCTTCCTTCCTTCCTTCTCTCCCTTCTTCTGTCCTTCCTTCCTTCCTCCTTCCTTGTTTCCTTGCATTCTTCCTTCCCTGTGTAAATATCAGGACACGGGGGCAAAAAAAAAAGAGTGCCCAACAAAAAAAAATAGGTTCCCGTTCATGCACTCTGCGGAGAACCTGGTTGTCGATCATTCGATCGCGGACAGTTTGGCGGATGGTCCTAAGAAGTTAGGCAGTTAGGGCCCCGAAGCAGCAGGCCCCATTGCTTTGTAGCATCGGAATGAAGCAATCCATGTGATTCCCAATTTCAAGCTTCAGCATCTTGTATTCTGTGGGAACCAGGATACGGTAGAATCGAGTTTTAGGATAAAGCACGGTATATAATAAAAGGGTGCAATAACATGAATTAATAGTACTTGCGTGAGGGTGGTATATCGATGATACCCCTGTCACCGTGAGCTGAGTGTTGTTGAGGGTGTTGACGATAACGTAGCATGCTCGGCTCATGTAAAAGCACCCAAATATCCGCCACGAAGAGGACAAAGCTCCCCCAGCCTACAAAACGAAGGAGAGAGCTTCCTCCAAGTTCATGAGAAAAAACAGCTCCATCTCAAAAAGCAGACAAACCATCGAGAAAGAAAAGAGCTCCTTTACCCCTCAGTCGGCAAGAAGAAACTTCGTTCTCTTAGGTCAAGGGAAAAAAATCCTGAGTGTCCCTATGCCTTTTCAAAACATGGAAAAGAGCATAGGAGGCATGGGCAGAGGAAAGCGTGTCTCGGCAACCGCTGGAGGCTGCGGGGCGTGCATGTCCAGGGGCCTTTGGGCGAGTTTCCGGCCATCGGGTTCAGTGACCATCCGGGGCCGACGGCCCTCGGCCTCTACCCTTTCCAGGCTTGACCTTGGCCGTGGCCCTTCTGGCCCCTCCATTAGGAAGCACCCCGTCTGTGACAGCAACTGCTGCCGCTTCCTCCGTTACGACACAGATCATGCACCTGGGCTCGAGAAACTGCGAGGTCGATCTCCCCTCCTTGTTCCTTCGAACGGCCCACGTCCACACCGCTAGCATCATCAGCTCCCCTGTAATTCGTGATCACTGTCGTGCTTGCCCAGTCTGGGTTTCCAGGTGTGCCGGATGCGAAGGCGTCGAGGATTCAGTGGATTCTCCGAGAAATGATTTCCAAGCTAACCAGAGCGGGTATGTTGAATTGGTCGTACACCCCCGCCGTATATATGCAGTCAGTGAGAGCACGCATCTCATAAGCCGTGCAATCATTTTCGCTGACTTGCTTCGCGCGCATCCACTCAGACAACCAACGCTTGGGGTCTCCGCCAAACTTGCCACCAAAGTGGCGCAGGAGGTGTGGGCCGTCGATAACGGCCCTTCAAGCGGCCAGTCATCAAACTGATAGTCTTTTGCCTTTAACACAAGCTGATCCCAGGCCTTGTGGCGCTCGCCAGCGGCATTGTAGTCCACTTCAAAGAGCGTTCTGACACTCCCGCGGCCTCCGAACTGGTACCGGCTCGGTCCTTTGAACCAAAAGGCCTCTCGGGCTCAGGGTCGACCTCATTGGCACGACTCTCAAGATGCTTCCTGAACACTCCTGGTGATTCCTGCACCTTCTAAAGGAAAACCGGCGTCCAGCCCGAGGAACCCCGATGGCACATGCCTGTGTCCTCGCCTGGCTGGACTCCCCTGCCATTCTCAACGGCAACTTCAAAGCCTTCAGCCGGCTGACCCGGCCGTCCAGGAACTGAGGCGACCTGGTCCCTAACTTCCTGAGCATCCGCACCTCCCGCAACCCAAAAAGGCCGAGGTGGACACCGTGTGTCGGGCCACCTTTGTCTCGTTGGCTCGCCAACATTCAGGAGGCACAACATTGAGGCCCGTCTCGTCCAGGGCCGTCTTTACGTACCCCCGCATGTCCGCCTCTGTTCAGTGGCAAACTTGTACACGGGCGCACGCACTCGCGAATAATAGGTAAAATGCCGCCCCTTGATCTTGAACTCTTCGGGTCCATCGTGGCCGCCCAGGGCATAACTTTGCTCGTACAGATCCAAGTCAAGGGTGAGCACGTATCACGCGTGCTAGCTCCCTCCTTTCCAAAGATCCGCTCGTGCCACATATTGTCATCAGACTACCAATCCAGCGCTCTATCCCCGGGCGGGCGGGAACAGTATCTCCTCGGGACTGCCTAGTAGGGCTGCCATTAGATGATTGGACACGTGAAGGCCGCACCCAGTGTTGCACTATATTGAAGCCCAGGCTCACGAGCAGCACTCCAATCAAAGGCCAGACAGGAGATGTTGCGCAACTGCACTCGCAAGAGCAAGTAACTTCAGCTGCGGCTGGCACGATATCGCAAATTGGGTTCCCTAAGCCCAACCTCCACTGCTCGCAAAGCCAGAGCAGCCAACTGAGCTTCCAACTTTATGGCAGTCCTACACCTACCTTTTCAGCTTGAAATGAGATCAGCGTGTTCCGTGCAGTCTTTACGAGCACGCTCAAACATCTACCCCGCAAAACGGATGATGCGGACACGTGCGGCAGGCCTCTGGTGTGCAGGCCTCCTGCGGGCAAAGGCTGCGAGATGCTGCGCTTATGGGCCGCTTCGTGCGGTCAGGCCTTGGACTCCAGGCTGCATGCCGGACGCGGATCCAGCTTCCGCTCCACCTCAGACGAAAAGCGCGGAGGCAGCATCAAACGTGGCGGCGGCTTAGAGGTCTCTCTCTCTCTGCCCCGACCTCGCGCTTCAGGCTTTGGAAGTCGCGGCCTCCGTTGTAGTCCGAGAAGCGACCATCCTCAACCCAGAGACTCAATGCACTGCGTTGCACTGCGTTGCACTGCGCGGTCCTGGCCTTCCAGAGCTTCAAGGTTGGGTAGCCCTGAACGCCGTTCTCCTCAGCATGGGATGGCATAAAAAATTGGGGACCTCTGCTCGCCGAGGCATGCACCCCACAGAATTGCTGGCCGCTTCCAGAGCAGTCCGCCTGCAGACACTAAGAACGCTCTTCTGCTCAGGACAGCGGAGTCCAGGTGTTCTTTGCAAGCCCGTGCTGTGCTTTCGCGCGCCTGCCCAATGATGACGTTGGGCGTGTCGGCATACACTTTCTCAGATGCAGAAGGGTTCTGACTTGGAGCGGCTCGCTTCAACATTAGAGGAATGCGCAGAATGCTTCTAGACAGTTCGAGATTCAAGTTAGGAAGACTTCTCCGGCACAGTCGAGGGAAGGAAGAGCGCTGGGGGGGGGGGGGAAACCACTTCCAGGAGGCAGCGAAAGGAGCCCAAAGCCCAGCTGGGCCACCCAAAAACATCAGAGCAGAGCGAGCTTTGGCTTTCAACTCGTTTCGCGCCCAGCTGCGGCCATCTGGTCCCACCTGTGCCGCAGAGGGCGCTGAGAGAAGCGCGGGGAGAGCGGAGGAGAAGAGAAGACGCGTTGCACACTGCAAATTGCACTCGCTCCGCTCTCCTCCGCTCTCCTCCGCTCTCCTCCGCTCTCGGGTCGGCCGCCGGGGCCCCGGCTCCGGTTGAAGCTTGCGGCAGTGGCCTCGAAGAACGGAGCTTTGTTTCAACTTTTCAACTCAAGGCAACGACTTTCCCAAGGCCCGCACCACACCAAGGGGCCTGGAAGAACACGAAGGCCTTAGACTCAGGCCAGGCGCCCTTCATGTCCAATCGCCGGGTACTTGGCTTTTGCACCCAAACTTCTCACAAAGAACCCGTGACCGGTCCGACCGCGACCCCCTCCCCTCGGCCCAGCTGCGTTTTTCCCCTCCAAGGACTTCTTGAAGTTGCTGTCCGTCAAGTCCATCTTCAGGCTCGCGCCTGCTTAAAGAGGGCGCAGCTGAGACGTCAAGTGGGACACTGGGAGCCGAGCCGCTCGGCGCCAGCACAAAAAGGGCAAGAAGGGATGCCCTCATCCCTCGCATGATTGGGGGGAACTAAGCTTCAAAAAGCTTGCTTGATGCCAGTGAAGTGAACTGCCACTCTACCGTGAGCATCGCTGCTGAGCCCCTCTGCCGACATGCATTTCGTCCAACTCTTACAATCGCTAAACAGCACATTGCGCTCGCAGCCGCAACCAGCCTGCTTGCCGGCTGCTGCACATGACGGTTGTGCCTTTCTTGTCTCTCGTGTTGTTACTGCTCTTGTGTCTCTTCTCTGTGTCTCTTCTCTAGCAGGGTTCGCTTTCTTGTTTCACAGGTTGCAGATTCACCTTTGGCTGCATCCATTGACTGTATGCAACTTTGAGGTCTTCATCCACATGTTTTTTTCCGGAGTGGGCAGTCTGAGGTTTCCTGCTCCACGTCAGGGGTGGAAGCCGCGAAGACCTGTGACAGGAGCTTCCGAAGCACTTCAAGTCTGCAGGAGTTGTGCCAGATTGAGGGTTTTTGGGATGTCCGCAGTGTCCCCTGAGAAGACTATGCGTCGCCGAATCGAAATAAAATGGGTGCCTGAGGCACAGCAGACAGCGCATGCGCTACCAACGGGCAACGAGCACTCACCTTTCTGCAGTCCCCACCGCAATGCCGATCACTTCGGCTCTTGTTGAGCAACGCCGGTTGGTTCAAACTGTGCAAACTGTCCGGGAACTGCGAGAACGAGAAGACGACAACAGTAAAGAATGAACCTGTCTCTTTCGAGTTGTTACGAAGAGAGAGACACCAAACCAAAACGCACACGAGCTTTCCATGATTCCAACTACCGATCTAGCATCCAGCAACCAGCAAAGCGGGTAGCGCTTCGCAAAGCCCCTCAGAGAATGAAGCCAACAAAAGTTGACCACCCTTGATAGCCTATACCGAACACATAGTAAGGGATTCCACAGGTGGAGGGAAGGCTAACAACTGCGAAACAAGGCTGTAGCATACAGGAGGCCGCAGGATCGAGACCGGGCCCGTCAAGCACCCCGCCTCAACTACGCAGGGTTCTCTGCGTGCAGCTTCAGCCATGCAAAATCTTGTCCAATTCTAACAACATCCCTCCCGGTCTGCACTGCATTTTTTCCTGTTTCTTTGTGATCCAATTAGCTGTTGTGAGTCTGTCCTGCATGTTTATGCAGCTCTTGTCCATGCTTTATTCACTTGACTTTGGTTCGGAGCCCAAGACTCTTGTCTCTTGTTGCTTGTTGTTGTTGTTGTTGCTATTGTTGTTGCTATTGTTGCTGTTATTGTGCTTGTTGTTCTTGCTGTGGTTGGTTGTTGTTGGTTGTTGTTGGTTGTTGTTGTTGCTGCTGTTGTTGTTGCTGTTGTTGGTTGTGGCTGTGGTTTTGGCTGTGGTTGTGGTTGGCCGTGGCCGTGGCTGTGGGTGTGGCTGTGGGTGTGTTGCGGTTGTGGTTGTGGTCGTGGTGTTGGTGTTGGTTTTGGTCTTGGTTGTGGTTGTTGTTGTTGTTGATGCAGCGCTACCAGCTCAGGCGATTTGCAGCCATCACCACAGGACGGCCTGTGGAGGGCCCAACTTTTTGAGATCACGACAGTTCCCAGGCCCTTCAACCAGACTTTTGTTTAGATTCGGCTGCGCGTAGGAGTGCTCCTTCAATTATTGTGAGGCATCTTACTGTCTCGCTTTCTTGTTGCACCCCTTGGTGATACAGGCACGCCACACTGCAGGCGTTGCAATCAGGACTTCCCCGGTCCTAACATCCGGGGGGGGGGGGGGGAAACTCGCAACTTGCTAATGCAACTTGTGCTCTGCTCCTATTCGTGGAGGGTTCCAGGGTTCCCCCGTCTTTCCAGTTTTGCACTCCATGCACGGATCGCCGTGAGAGGCAAGTCCTGTTTGGATGCAGGACCAGCCAGCTTTTCCGGCTTTGCTCTGTCTTGGGCTTGCGCTTTGCATACCGTATCGGTTGTACATTCTTTTCTGAAAAAACGTGTTCGATTTCAGGGCTGCGCTGTGCCAATACTCGACTTCTCGCACATTGCAGTTTGGACTTCCATGGGTATGTACAGTCATCTGTGTCTTTTTCGTTTCCGCTTTTTGCTTACAAGTCGGTTGCTTTCTTCTTTGGACTTGCTGTTTCTCTGCTTCGTTGTCTTTCCGTTCAAGGGTGTGATAAAGTCCATGGGAATGTGGCTTGCATCAGGTGTTTCCCCCTTTGCTCCGTTCAGGGGTGAGAAGGGGTGCGGGATGATGGGAAGGGAGGGGCTATTTACACGGCTTGCATCTAGTGTTTCCTTTTTCCTCCATGCAGGCGTGGGGAGGGGGGTGGATGAGGGGGGCTGATAACGTCCATGCGAATTCGGCCTGCGTCTCGTGTTTCTTTGTTGATACACAGACAGGCTGGTCATGCAGTGACGTCCATAGCCAATACGTAATTTTGGTTGACGCTGTTGACGCCGTTGACGCTGTGAATCCAACAATACGCTGACGACGTTGATGCCGTCGATGCCGCCGACGCGGTTGACGCCTTTGACGCCGCTGACGCCGTCAACGCCGTCAACGTCGTCGACGCCGTTGACGTCGCTGACGCCGGTAACGTCGTCACGCGCTTCACGTCGTCACGTCGTCGCATCAAACCCCACCTTGTCACGTCGTCGCGCGCTGCGCTGCAGGAACTCGCATTGTCACATCGTCACGGGTTTTTATTGTCGATGTGCCGCCTCGCTCACGCTCAAGTAGGCACGTCGTCGCGCGCGCGGCGCTGGAATCTCACGTAGTTTCATCGTTGTATGTCTTTGCGTGCCGCGCTAGGTTGCTACTACATAAAGATATACTTGGAATGATTGTCAACCAAAAGATAAGAACTAAAAGATAAGTAGCTGGATTTCTATATTCAAGCTTGTTGAGATATAGTTTCCAAGCCTTGTATTTTGTACAGAACAGCCCACTTTCAAGTAGTTACGTTATCCAAGGCACGTGCCTCAGTGGGTCTCGTGTATATAGGGTTAGGGTTTAGGGCTTTGGACGATTTTTGTTCACACTGACATTGTTTCCGTAATTTGTGGCCAGCAACGACAAATGTAGACAAATTGGTATTGGTCTCTTTCGTCCATGTCATCAGGTCATATGTCGGGAACTTGGGTTATCCTAGCATATCACACCAAATGAGCTCGGCAAATCCTGCGTGCGCACCTGTGACATCGGCATCTCCACCTACGCCAGCTTGGCTGCCAGAATAACCCAACGTCTCGACATATGACTTGATGATATGTGGACGAAACAGACCAATACCAATTTGTCTACATTTGTCGTTGCTGGCCACAAATTATGGAGACAATGTCAGTGTGAACAAAAATCGTCCCATCGAGCTTATTGTCAGCGACCATCATGGGACCTGGATGTAGGTTTAAATTTACAGTGTGGGCAGGGTCCTGCTGTTTTATGTGGTCCTGTTCCTGTCTTGAGATACAAACAATGTGCATACTCTCCATATAACCAGCACTACCCGCCGCTGACGACGTCGACGCCGTTAACACCGCTGACGCTTTTGACGCCGTTGACGCCGCTGACGCCGTCAACGTCGTCAACGTCGTCGACGCCTTTGACGCCGTTGACGCCGCCAACGTCGTCACGCGCTTCACGCGCTTCACATCGTCGCGGCACGTCGTCGCGTCGTCACGCGCTGCGCCCCAAAATTGACGCGCAGCCACAGACATCAATGCATGATTGCCTTGACTGTGATGAGGATGGTGAAGATGATGATGATAATGCTGATGCTGATGATCATGATGATGACGGTCATGCAAAATGTTGATATCCCTGATGATGACGATATGTATGGTGATAGCGCTGACAGTGACAATGACAATGTTGCTCCCTGTTGCTGCTGATTTCAAGTTACTTCTTAGATGCTCCCAAAACAGAATGCTCTCATTCCGTGTGCTCTCCAAACAAAAGCTTGAAAAACTGACACAGAACTCAAGCAAGAAAGCGGCGAACAGCAAGGTATTCACGACGCTTCCACAAAAATCACACCAAAAAATAAGAGCAGAACATAGAAAAACTGAAAGGGACTCAAGGTTTCCAAGCTGTTGACAAACAGGAAATAAGAAAACAACACGCCCTTCGCGCAGATGTGACGCCTACTTTGTTCTTCTTCTTCTTCTTCTTCTGCCGTGACGCTTTGCTTCGACATGCGGGCGACCTCCAACTGCTCGCGACCTCTTTTCCGGCTGCCCGTTTCAGCTTCGCCATGAGTTTTCAAAAATTATTAGCATCCATAAGCTGCCCTCGAGAAAACAGAGAACACCCTTGTCCTAAAAGGCTCTGTGACGTGGGATGGTTACCAGTGGAGCCGGGGCCCTGCTCTGGGTCAACGCTGGTCACAGCAGTCTCGTTCGGGGCAAAAAACTCTTCCATCCAGGCATCAAAGGACGAGGTTGCTGCAAACCAGGCTGAGGCGATCTATGGCATGTACTCACGCTGCTAGGCATGCTGCGAAGCAGGCCAAAAGGCAGTCTTCCATGCATGCCACAAGTCACAATGCCGTGCAAAGAAATTGCAAACCGAAGACTACGATGGACGGAGCGTCATAAGTTCTTCTCGATCCTGGGTAAATAACGTGTGTCTCCTCCGTCCAACTTCAGATATGGAACTCGTGTGCCAGCTGAAGCTGGGCCAGACAACGTCTTCATAGCTCCATGAGCTCCAGCTCGCTCCAGCTCCAGTCAAGGACGGAGAGGGCAAGTGATTGCTCGACCCCGCCTCTGGCTTTAAAAACGTGGCAGTGCTCTATCACTCGGGTTTTCTCAGCAGTTCAACTGCTGAAACGAGTGGTGAAACGCTCATAAGATGCACAGGATACTTTTTGATCCCGTGCCAGAGCACCGCTAGCTTAGCCCGCCTCATCATACGACTGGTCACTAGTCTTAAGTGAAGCTGGTAAATTGCACTACTGTGACTATGGAGACACCGCCAATGCATACTCTCGGGGCTCGGAATGCCCAATGAAAGTGGAACGTTGACGCCTCAACAGTGCTCCTCACGGCGGGAGAAGGCAAATGCAACTGTCTGCAGTTCCTCGACAAGTCCCAGACCTCGCGGTGCTACTTTCCTCCTGTAGAGGCAGATGTCATGGCATGCAGGTCACAACACACTGGCAGGCACAATTGGCGCAAGCTTCTCGTGCCTTGGAAAGGTTGTATCCACACCTCGTCCCACACCGTGCGGCGGGCCTGGCCAAAAGCCCAAAGCATCGGGCGCTGTATGGCGCTGTCCCGAAAAACAAGCCTCACCTAAACACAGTGCGTGCTTTCAGATGTGGCCTCGCCGCTGAAGCAGGACTCGCCGAGACAAAGCCGGTTGCCGGGCTCCAACTCGGAGGACAAGGGCCCGTGACTCGTGACTACTCGGTGACGGGGCCCCCCCCGCTGTGCCTGCAGCATGCAGTCGATGAGCTGAGCCAGCTCGGCACTTAAGACCTCTGGGGAGGCCAGGCCACGGGCCACCAAGCCGCCAGGTCACGCCGGGCCTCCGAGAGGTGCTCCGTGCCCTTGCGTAGCTTCCTCTTCTTCAAGAACTTCATTAAGCCAAACCTCAGAAGGTAAAAGGGACTTCTGGAAATTCCTGGATAGCAGCCCGGGAACCGCACGTTGAGATGTACTCAAAGAGCTGACATGAATTCTTCTTGGTGGAAGTCCAAGGATAATCCTGAAGCCACAGTGCGGGAGCCGCAGCAGGCCGCATGGCAGGCCGCATGGCAGGCCGCGGTCCGGTCCCCGGCCCGGTCCCCGGCCCGGTCCTGCACTGCCATGGCAAAGAGAACCACACCCAGCGCAAACCTCGGACGTGTCGAGTCGAGCTTAGCCCGCTTGGCCCCGCTTCCGGGCCCAGCACTCGTCTGCCAAATAAGCATCGTATTCGGCAGCCGCGTGCATCTCGGGAGCCTGCTGCCGCAGCTGCCGCAGCTGCCTTACGCTTCCCTTTGGAACCGGCCTGGTAGGATTGCTTACCACGGACCTGCCAGGCACTCCGACAGCGACACTTCGAAGTCTCGGCCAGCTCGCGAATGCGGCTTTAAGCGCGCCTCCTTCTTGCAGACCCTGTTTGTGGTGGACATTCCAAAATCGATGAGCTTTACCTGCTGCGAGCCTCACATGCACAGCTCTCATAGCCTTCGGCCTTCAGCTATTTGCCCTCCATGCCTTCTGCATCGGTCAAGAGAATATTCTCTAGCCTCGTGTCCGTCGCATGCTGCCACATTCTGCCACGCAACATTCTGAGGGGCCCACGACAAGTCTCTATGCGCAACACCCAAGTCGTGAAGCCACCTGCACAGCATTGCGGAGCGTTGCAGCAGCCGGCGTGCGCCCAGCCCAAAAGCTTTCGCTGCCTAACTGCTGTGAAAATCTGCCCAACAATCGGGAGCATGACCGCCTGTGAGCACGAGCATAAGACATTGTGCACATTGCAGCAAGCACAGCCGCACAGTCGCCTCCCTCGAAGGTCCTGGGCGAGGATCCTCGGCACACAGAGCTGCACAGCCAGCGCCGCGCAGCGCCGCGCAGCGCCGAGAGGCCCGGGCCCGATCGCACCAGGTGAAGAGATCCCCCTGCGTCGCTAATGAAACTGTCACGTACCTCCAAGGGAGCTCAGGCTCTCAACGTGCAAACCGCAAGCTTCGAGATTTCATCTCGAGGCACGTGTTCTCATCGTCACGAAAGACACCGATGAGCTCACAAACGTATGGATATCGGATGGAATTCAAATGCCTGCGTCGAAGCGCAAGGGGCAAAAAGACGCTAGTCGCCCACGCAGCACCGCTCCGCTCCGCTGCGCTCCGCTGGGCTCCGCTGGGCGCTCGGCCTCACCAGGCCGATATCCACCCAAGGCCGTTCTGAGGCTGTCGGGTACCTCAGAGAGCGCAGAGAGACGACGCAAACGCAAAGCAGAGCCCTTGACGAAGCGAGCCTTGCCCTTTCTTTTCTCTCGCCCTTCTTTTCCCTCACTCGAGGGCACTGTTCATTGAATTCCGTAGGTCCTTCGCGAACCCACCTTGGCGCCGTAGCTAGGCAGCACGGAATTTAACGCAGACCAGAAGCGTGCACCATCAGAGCATTCGCTAGAGCATGCTGCAAGTCAGCGGCCTGTTCGGCATCCGTTTCACGGCGAACTTCTCCCCGCTCTGGCGGAAAGATGCCCCAGAACCGAGAGGCAAGGCTGCCACGAAAAATCGAGTGTCGCGGGCCTTCTTCTGCATGAGATCCACTCGACCATGATTGCGAACCGCTTCCTGCTTTTTTGGTTGGCCCGGAGCCGGCATGGCCGTGACTGGCCGTGCGCACTTGAAACCAGACTGAAACGGCATGAAACGGCCTGTAGAAGCGAGTTTAGAATGTACTCTTCTGGATCCCATGACTGAACACCGGCTGTGACCGCATCGATCGACTCCTGCAGCAAGGTCTCCCACAAGGCTCAGCTGGCTGCAGGCAGTGCAAGGCCAGAAATCTCCTGAAGAACCTCCTTCGTGACTGCCTGCAGACGGAAAGGACCACAAGCAATGGCAGATGCGCCGTCCAGATCCGCGACGCGTGGCACCTGCCCGGCTAGCTCCTGGCACTGGAGAAAATGCAGAAAGATTGACTGTCATGAGAGTATGGCTACCAGCAGGCCTGTGTTCGCCACGCCTCAGGCGCTGAAGCTCTGTTCGGATTCCGCTCAGCTGAAGAAAAGGTCCAAGCAGCTGGAGGTGGAGGGGCCGGTGAGGTTGCACTGGGTCGTGGAGAAGGTACGCCTTCAGAACATGGCTGGTTTCAACAGGCCGTAATAAAATGCTGGCCCTTGGTAGCACCTGGAGTACGTCCTGTGGAGTGGGGACTCCGCTTACCTGTAGAATCCCAACATCAGGAGCACCGCTGGCAGAAAACGCTCCTGCCTGCAGGAGGAGAGCTGGAGCTCGCAGGAAACATTCCACTGAGGAATGAAGGAAACTTTGTCATGACTCCGATCTCCGAACTGTCAAAATGACCTCGGCTACTCTGTCGGAGAATGAAAATTACAGGCCCCTCGCAGCCTCGCAGTAGCCTGAGGCCGCTGAGGCCTTGGCCTTGTGTGCTCACATGGGGGTCACACGCGGGCCAACCCTGCGCTCTGGCTCAGAGCCAGTCTCGCAGCGACGGAATGCGAAAGCAGAAAAACTACTGGAAATGAAGCGCAAGGTAAACAAGCCCTGGGGCTTCCATCCCTTGATATCATCCTTACACACCATCCCTGGCTGCTTTGCGAAAAAAATCTTGACCCTCTCAACAAACCAAACATGGTAGAACCGGGCGTGCACCGGCCCACTGACCCGACATGCCACATTGGAAAGTGAGGTTCTTGCGTACGCCGCAGCTGCAATGACTGATTTTGTGCACCCGAAGACGCGTGCTCTCGCTGCCCAACATGCATGCAATCGATCAGGGGGCTCACATTCCTTTTGCGACCCCACATCCTACCTTTGATTTAAGCTGTAGAGGAGGTAAACGCTGATTCGTTAAATCATGGGGCATGGGTTTTGCAAATGTGTATGTGCCGGTACTGAAAATCTTGTGAATGCCGATCCCAGGAGGGCAACACCTTCAACACCCGGTTTACGAAGCTTCTGACAGCTTCGCCGGTTCGGGCCCGGCTTCCGTTTCCTCCCGGTTGGGGGAAGGGTCCTCTAGGTTAATATGGCAGCCCACACTCGGACCCCTTTGTTTTTCACCAGTGGCGTAAAGTCCGGTAGCTCCAGAGGTCCTCTTTCGGACCGGCCGGAATAAAGCAGGAGATACGGAAGCACCTCCTCATTCTTTGGAGCCTACCGGACGAAGTTGGTATAGCCGGAACCCCAACCGGAATGGAAAAATGGAGAACAAAACTAGCAGTGGCAGACTTGATTTTGGCTCAAAAGCAAGTCGGGCACTACTGAAATCTTCAAGAAATGAAAGTGCGCGGGTCCGGAGCACAACCACCGCAATGGGAGTCCCGGTGTGGAGGCGGTGCTCCGAACCAGAAAACCTTCACTACCCCTTATGAAATTTGCCGGAATTTCAAAAGATTCCACAAAGTGGAATCTAGCCAAAAATGGGCATCCATCGATAAACGTATATCTCCCCTTAAATGAAAGAACATAAAAACATATATCAAGATGTAGAGAAGATTCATCATTCACGTATTGCCCGAAATGATATTTGGGCACGCAAGCATATTAAAAATCATATCAAAATTGTCAATCGAGTGAGCAGCCTGTCAGCAGTCAAGCTGCTCACTCGATTGTTTTAATCGCATCGGCAAACTGGGGTTGATGCATGGTGCTGGGCCCCTCGGCCCAGCACAAGAGATGAGCCATAACTCTTTTCCCGATGTGCTCGGTTTAATCGCGCACCTCAAGCCATAATACCCCCAAACTAGGGATGGGCGGGCGGGACAAAATTTGTTCCTCACCTCACAAGACTTGAGGAAACTGGCCACGGCATAACAGCATCAAAGCATGCCCACCGGATTGCATGGCAAAGAAAAGCCATGAAAACATGCGTGAGAAAACATGAAAAATCGATCTTTAAAGAATCAGCCGAAAGATGCCATTGCAACTTTTCTGTTTTCTTGGAAACCGCCTTCCCATGGAAGGCTGTCCGACGTTTCATAAAGTAATATCGCGCGCGCCCGACAGAGTTCTTATGAAGTTCGTCGGAGTTTCAAAAGACTCCACAAAGTGGAATCTAGCCAAAATGGGCATCCATCGATAAACGTATATTCTTGAAGTCCGCTTTGTCGTGCCCCGCTTCAGGTACATGACATGAAGATCTTGACGAGCATCCCTAGCGCATGTTCCAGCCAGGTTCAACAAACGCACGAGCTCAAGGTCTTTTCTACGGCCGGTGGCTGGTTTCAGGTTAGAGATTTTGCACATTCCAGATGCCTTCATCTGACTGGCAATCCGACATCTTCAAGTAGCTGTAAACCACCTGTAAAAGTACACGAGATTTTGCACATTCCAGATGCCTTCATCTGACTGGCAATCCGACATCTTCAAGTAGCTGTAAACCACCTGTAAAAGTACACAAACCCCGGGTGGGAGGGCGGGGCTTCACCAAAACACGCAGGAAAAGCATGGCTTGGCTCAAGCAATCTTTACACCTTGAGCATGACGAGGCGACGATGGCTTTGCGTGGCATATACAGGACATGCACGGTATGTACAGGCAGGGAGTCTTGGTCCCCTCGACTTTGTTTAAGGACACCTGCAGCCTGGTCTCCGTCAGCAAAGACAGCTCCACAAGAATACAATCCCTCATTCTTGAAGTCCGCCTTCTCGTGCCCGCTTCAGGTACATGACATGAAGATCTTGACGAGCATCCCTAGCGCATGTTCCAGCCAGGTTCAACAAACGCACGAGCTCAAGGTCTTTTCTACGGCCGGTGGCTGGTTTCAGGTTAGAGATTTTGCACATTCCAGATGCCTTCATCTGACTGGCAATCCGACATCTTCAAGTAGCTGTAAACCACCTGTAAAAGTACACAAACCCACACCGCCAGCACTGGATTCCAGCGAAAGCCATGAAGTTGGAAGCCGCCACTTTGCGCTCCAATCGAAGCCATGCGCCTGCTCCTCCAGGATGCCGTACTCAAGAATGGAACATTACAGCGTGGCCAATGCCGCAATGAATTAAAGCCTCTGCTGCCGGTCAATGCCAACAGAGGCGCATGCGCCCAGAGGCGCTTCGCGGGGGGCTCAGCCCGCGAAAGCCCACTGCTCACACAACAGCCTCAAACCCAGCCTCCAGGTTTGACCAAGCTGGCTCAGAGAGTAGCCCACGACCAAGGACCCGGTTGCGTGAGGTAGAGCGTAAACCAACCACTTTTCATAATCGGATTTTCAAACATATGCAAAGGAAAAAGGACTCAAAGTCTATTTGCAAATGAATCCAATCACAAGCATGAATAAGATTCCAAGTAATCCGGCATAAGATGCATCGCACTGTCCTTCATTTTGCACGGGGCGAAACACGGTCTGGCGACCGCCCCCTTCGGGGGCGCGGGTGAGGAGGGTGGGAACAGTGCAGTAGCACGCACGCCAGCTACGGACTACCACAAGTGAAACAGAATGCAGGTCAGAAAGCCGGGCTACCAGCAGAGCACAAGCAGCTGAGCACAGCTCACTTGGCACAGCCTACAACTACAACTACGCAGCTACACCTACGGCAGGCACAGGTGGAACTCACAGGAGAGCTCAACACCGGCAGCACGCAAAGCGAGTGCGGCGCAACGCAATTGAAGTGGAGCTCAAAGGAGAGCTCAACGCTCCAACTCGGCAACACGAGAAGCTTGCAAGCTCAATGGCACGGAGAGCCAGAGCAGCACACAGGGAGTGGAGGGCGGGCAGAAAATTCTTTCACAGCTCAGCTCGAGCACTGAGCTGCTGCATACCAAGGTTGTGTCATCAAGACCAAACGAGGCGATGCGCTGCAGTCAATGCAAAAATCGTCACGTGCAAAAACAAGCCATGCCAAGTTTTGAAACCAAAGTTTGAAAATGCTCGCTTCAAGCTCGCGGTCCTTTTATGAAGAAGGGATCGCAGATGGCGCAGGCTTGTCTGCTGAGATCCTTTTCATAATCGGATTTTCAAACATATGCAAAGGAAAAAGGACTCAAAGTCTATTTGCAAATGAATCCAATCACAAGCATGAATAAGATTCCAAGTAATCCGGCATAAGATGCATCGCACTGTCCTTCATTTTGCACGGGGCGAAACACGGTCTGGCGACCGCCCCCTTCACCCCTTCTTAGTAAACTTTGCGGGAGCCAGGAGGGCCTTAAGGTCACAACCCGACAAGGGGCACGAGGGACTAACCCTACGACACCCAGAATTAAGCAGATCGGCGAAGTCACCACGCGACGGAGCATCCGCCACATTGCTCTGGCTGGCTACACGGGCGAACCAAGACCAAGAAGCACTTAGCTCTTCGGCCGCCTCGAAAGACAACAAGATGTCCCTGACGTGATGATTGACAGAGGTGCCCTTGATGAAGGCGTCTTGCGCTGGCACATTGTCTATGTAGAAGATACATCTGTGTCCCGCGATGAATTGGTGCCAAGCCTTCCTCGCGACGGCAACGGCATAGGCCTCAATGGGCCCTATAAAGTGACACATGGAGTCAGCCCATCGCGAGACTAGGACATCAGGGACAGAGCAACCAAAGTAAGCGTGAACCTGATTCTGAAGCATCAACACCCCACCCAAGGTGTGGGAGCTACCTTCGCTCGCTCCATCGGTGTAAATGTGCACAACGTGATCGGCGACA